AGAGGAGGTTGGGAAGTCTGGGCCAAAAAGAGGGACAGTATGAAAATAGATAGCTGGGCAAGAGGAGAAAGGGGAGATGGGTATAGGAGGAAGCAGGGGGATGTGTCAAGAACTGAAGGAAAGTTGTTTCTTGAGGTATAGCTGAGCATCTCTCCACATCCCCTGTTGGAACTGAGCCCTGGAAGAACTTGTCTGTCTAAGGCAGTATGAGCCTTTCTTGTATACTGAAATTAAGAACGGGATAGGAGCATCCTGTTGGGGCAATCTTAGCCCCTTTCCCTATTCCAGAACATGGGTATGCTGTAACCAGTACTAAGACTATGGAGCTTCATGCATATCATGGTCTCTCAAGCACCGGTACTGGGGAGGGGAAATGAGAACAATCACTAACAGAAATACAGCCATTCATACCTATCAGAGCAATTGTTTCAGGCTGTATTAATTTCCTTAAAGTTTTCTTATTCCATTGGATATCTCAATGTGATATTCTCCTTTACCTTTCTCTGATTCTTTTCCTGTTAGCAGGTTAACTTTTACAGATACTCATGCTTACTCAGATTTTTTTTAAATTGGGTGTACCTCACAGGTTTAGGATCGTTTGAGACATGAACGACACATGCCACCAGAGACTGGGGGGCCACAGTGACCGCCTGCAGGCGGCGGCAGCAGGGGTGTGGCAACAGCAAGCAGGGAGCTCCCACAGGCAGTGACAGCGGTGGCAGTGGCAGTGGCGGGGGAGTGGCAAGCACCAACCGGTGGTCAGTGACCACCTGCAGATGCCACCAGCAGTGTCAGCCAGTGACAATCGGCGACTGCCCAAAGACACCACTGGGGGTGTCAGTGGCAAGGGGAGAGGGGTAATGAGCAGTGACCACCCGCAGGCACTGCCGGCAGCATTGGTGGTGCTTTTTTCAGGGGTGCACTGCCAATCTCAGGGGGTGCACGTGCACCTGCATGCATCCCTTACACATCGCCAATGGTTTGAGAACATTTGAGGAAGGGGTCTCAAGATACAGCAACCCATAATAAAACAGCATTTTTTAACCTTGAAAAAGTTCAAATTAAAAAAAAAGCGAAAACTCTGACCTGCCAAATCAAACTACTTCTCTGACTGGACTTCATGGAGTCTTAGCTTTGGATGCTTACCCAAACTAGTGCATGGTAACCACTTCAACTTCAGAGAAACACTATTGAGTGCATTACTGAACAAAGAGTTTAGTCTGCTCCTCTTTGTAGAGTTGAACACAAAGGACCTGGAAATTTCCCTGCCTTCAAGGCAGGCCTGAGTCCCTTCCTCACTCTCTTATAGAAGCTGGTATCATTAAACTATTTCTTGAACAACTAGTATGGCCAGCCATATTTAATGAAGAGGAAGTTAGAGGAAGTGAAATAGTTGTGGAGCTAGCTATGTAGGAAAACCAGATGCAAAGGTTCATTCTTGCCACAACTAAAGGCTGTTATGAAAATATGAATCCCATTTCCTGCCCCCTGGCAGAAGCTAGGAGGGATTCTACTGCCTTAGTTTGATCTAACTTCACCCTTCTGCCCACCCAATGGGAGTCAGGGTTTGGAGGAACAGGCTTGAGAGTAACCCTTGTTTAAACTTCTGAAAACCAGGAAGTACAGAATTAAGGTACATGCTACTCTTACATGGGTAACTGGCTAGATATGGTGGTAAGTAGCAGAGGGGACATAGGTGGGGCAGTCTGTCCTTTCAAAAGGAGGCTGGATAATCACCTAGCCAGGGTGGTTGGACCCCAGTACTCTTTCCTGCCATGGCAGGGGGTCGGACTTGATGATCTGCTCAGGTCCCTTCCGACCCTACCAACTACAAAACAGGAAAGCCATCTAGGTGAGGTGTAAGCTCTGCTTCAATGTATATCTTGGAGTCCATAATCAAGTAAAAAAGAGTGTGACGTGTGGGTGTGGACATGAAAACACTTAAAGCCCTTTCAAAAAGGGGAATATTTCAAAATGGGAACAGCTGACACATTCTAATTGTTATAGGTGAATGAGCGGAGAACGATTCAGATTTAGAACACCTGCTCCAACTTTAACACAAGAGGAAGGAGGGTTCAAGCTGGAGCAGGTGTTCTAAATCTGATCATTCTCCACTCATTCATATATAACAATTGTGCCAACTGCTGCTCTTAAAAAGGGAATCCTACAAAAAGGGGGCTCTAGGCATCCATATGTCCACACCCTGTGATACATGTATACAGTAGAATAAAGCACCAGACACCAAGGAACGAGGGTGCAGAGAGAAGTGCTGCTCCCTGCTGTAACTGAGAATCCTTTGCAGGAAATGTTTAGAGTTACAACAATCCCCTGCCCCCAAACACTGGTGTTGACTGTTGGCTCGGGGAGGCGGAATCTAGCTGCTGGCTGTAGCCTGTTTCTCTGAGCAATGGCTCCTCTTCTTTCCCAGCCTGTCCCTATTTCAGAATGGGAGGGTGGAAAGGGAACAGAAGGAGCTCATTCTCGGGGTCCTCAGCCCAGGCTGGAGGATAGGGTGGGTAAACTGAGCCTCCCTACCTTGTTGGTTCCAATACACCTGCCCACCCTCGAGCAGGGGCTGAAAAAGCCTCAAACCAAGTTACCTCTGCTCCCTTTCCCTTCTCCCATTCTGAAAACAGCTTGAGGCTGGGAGACAGCAGAGACAGAAGTTACAGAAAATGCTGTGTTTCTAAATATCTTCCTCTGACTCCTCATGAAATAAGAGTTCAGATTTTCACCTGATCAGCCTTTTTAAGCTGTCTGCAGCCAAGCACTTGTGTTTGACCACAGCTATAGATTGTTTTCTGTGGCTAAATCAGGTAAAAATTCTCACTTCTGTCCGTCCCCAATATGTTTATATACTAAAAGCTAGTAAAATGCTAATGACTTAACAGAACAAGGAGAAGAAATGGATCTGGAAATAGCATTGCAAGAGAGGGGCACAGGACAGAAAAGGGGACAGAGGAACTGACTACACCCTTGTTCTTAAAGAGTTACTGTAATCACTATACAATTAAATGGTGCCACAGTTAGATTTTATTTTGTTTGGGGGCATAGATCATGCCTATGGTCTCTCTAACTGATCTTGACAGCTACTTACACACCTTAACCTTCATTTAGTAACAAATGAAGGTTTCTTTTGTAAACCTATATAGCAATAATTAATGCTCCCTCCCCACCAAAATACCATTTCTCTTTCATATTAAAAAACGCTAGGAAATATACTAACAACAAACTTTGTTAAGAGATACTCACGCTTGCTCAGGGTACCTTGTACTCTTCCAGAATACCAAGCAGATTCAAACTTCTGAAAACCAGGATAAGGTGCAAAATAGACTTGATCCTGAAAGCTGTATGTACCTAACTTTTAGTACAGAGATCAGCAAAATATATGCACACATACATAGAGCCAAGCTAAGCACATGCCTAAGTGTTTTGCTGGATTTGAAACTGAGTATTCCACACTTGGGAAGATTAACTCCTGGATGAGCTATCCAACTAAAATAAAACTGTAAAATACCAGTAACAGTGAAGCTGGAGACTTGAAGAGTTATTATTTCTGCATTACTAGAAATGACCCCAAAACACAACATTTTATTTTTATTTTTATTTGGGGGGGGGGGGGGGGGCAACTTGAATTCCTAATTCTTCAAAATTGGCTTGGATATACAGGTTAAAAAAAATTACTTAAATAAGATCTACACTGTTTCCTCCAAACAGTACCCACCAGAAAGTCAAATCTTTCTCCATGTAAAATCCTTTGCCTCTATCAAAAACCTAGAGTACCATGATGGGCTTTTTTTTAAATACTTAATATTTATTACCATAGAAAAACACATTTCGAATACAGATGAAAGCATCCTAATGATCATAATAGGATTTTCAAATATAATACCGCTAAGCAATACTAATGACATAAAAAGTCATCTTGCTCATTAGAAAGATGCACACTTATTTTTTTAACAAATGGCACAAAGATAGTCCCCTTAACAGATATGAGAGAACAATAGCAAGTGAAAGATAAACAGTGGTCCCCTGCATGAGCATGAAAGGGGCTGTCAAATTCATTCAAAATATCCTTTTCTGTTTGTCAAACAACAAATACATCATAAATATTCCTGCAACTATAACTGGAGCTTTATAATACTGATTGGCTAAATGACTATCAAGGACAAAAAGTAAAAAAATCTTTGTAATATAAGAAAAGAAAAATTCTGCTCATTTATTTCTACTGAAAAGGCAAAAGGTAATATTTTACTAACTTCTGAAAATATTCAGTGAAGTGAGTTATCAGCATGTACAAAAGAATTCTGAAGAAAAATATCAGCTTCCCAGGTCCATAAGGAACTTAACTAAACTTCATCTCTTATTTAAGGAAAGCTTCTTTTTTTTTTTTTTTTTTACTTTATCAACTTCTCATTAATACTTAACAAGGTGTCTACAAGATGGGTTTTTTTATTGCTACTGGCTAAAAACAAATTCAAAGTAGAATTATACTTTGCATCTTTCATTCAAGATCTATTGCATGTAACACACACCAAAAGCTTTACCTAGTTTGGCCTCCTTATATCTTCTTTAATTGAGCCTTAATAAAAAGACTGTGTTCTGGTGTGATATGTATTAATTGGTTTTCAAGAAGAGATGCTTGAAGCAATTTAGACATCTGAATTAGGGATGCATTGCAACATAAATACAAAATTTAAACCTCTTTCATCAGTCAAAAGATAGAGTTTGAGCTAAACCCACTGACACACAGGGACTCTGCGTTTAATTTGTACCCAGGTAGTAGGGTTAAAGTATTTCTGTAGTAAATTGATTTATCAGCTGCTGAAGACTAAAGTAGGACTGGATCCTGAATGTGTTAGAGACTGTCACAGAGGGAGAGCTTAATTTATCAATTTGCCAGTTTCTCAGCAGAGGCTGTTAATGACAACAGCATGAGGCTGCCTTCTAGCAGGAGTCAATGGAGTTATTTTCCTAAACTTTTTTATTTTTACACTTTTCCTCTTTGCAGACAAATGCAAGATGTGTCAAATATGCCTAAGAATGATCTGAAATACAGAGAGAAATGTGAGATTCATCTTGAAGGTTTTCATGGAGCTCCCTTTCTACCTAAAACTCAGTTTTCAGTGTTGTGCATAAAGCTGTTAAAAATCACCTGTTTATTGAATTTAATGTAGTCACTTTATATGCAGTAAGAAATTGTATTGTCTGGACATTATAACTCTACTGGTGCTAACAAAAGCCCAAGCACAGAACAGGACAAAATATATTAAAAGTGAACCAGTCAGTAGCTGCTCTTTGTGAATGCTAGCTAGCTCTATGACAACAACCAAATCAACATAGACTTTAAAAATGAAACCAATATCTAATGCAAATTCAGCTTGCTTATAGCCAATTATACCAACTTGTAGAGTGTTACCAGAAAACATAACACAGGGTTATATATATTGCCCCTAATTCAAAAGAGCACTTAAACAAATGCTTGACCTTCAGTCCTTTTAGTTTAAATTAGCCATGGGCTTTTCTGTTATTCTGAAGCAGGGGCAAAATATGGCGAACCTATAAAAATTATGTATGTACTCCAGCAACCATTCATCAGCAATCATTCTTTCCCTTCCCCCAGCAAGGGAAGATAGGATCAAGTAAAACACTTAATGAGAAATATTGTCCAAGACAATAAACTTCACAATGATTTACATATCACTAGCAAGCTCTCTGTTCCTGCATGTTTGACAAGGTGCTTAGTCTTCAACAGTTTGTAGCTTGTTAAATTGACTGTGCTTGGTTGTTTGCATCAGGGTCCCTAGGCCAGGCAGCTGTGTTTTCTGTGTCTGTCACCACCTTAGAAGGAATAAAAATAGATCCCCTCCTCCCCGCAATACTCCTCACAGCGCACAGGCTCCTTGGCACTATGCATTCCTGTGCAGGTTGCTGACCAGAGAATGAGACCATGGGCGACTGGTGCCTCCTGAGTCAGGGGGAGCACTTGCCCCCCTCCATTTGACAGTCAGCAACTGGGAAGGGAGGAGGTCCCCCTGTGGCCAGTCCCTCCAACCCAACCTGCAAGTGGCAATGGTACATATGGGTAAGCATATTCAGCCGTGGGGGGGCCACTTCTCCTGGCACCCCCACTCCCTGGCCGGCACTCTCAGGGGGGCACCAGTGCTCTTGCCTGCCCCCCTGCCCAGGAACACTGGCTATCAGGGGGTATACCAGTGCTCTCAGGGGGTGCACATGCACCCCTGTGCACCCCCTATGTGTCGCCACTTAATGAGACAATACCAGATCTCTGAAAATCCTTCACTCTTCATGTGACATGATAAAATAAGCAGTGCAATCCTTCTTCTTGCTTGATTGGCTGTTAAATACAGCGCTTTAAATATAATACCTCATTTACCAAGGGTAAATTTAAAATACTTCACCCGTTTTTAAAGTGCTGTAGAGCAGTGCGTTTCTGTTAAGTCACGTCAGTAAAGTGCTTTAAATGGCAAAAAAAATAACTTCTGTACAGTGAGGTGACCCGAGAACAATGGTGTCTTCTTACCAGGAGACCTCCCAGGCGTTCTCAATTTCTGAATGATTGCCTTAATAGAGAAAGGACTTGGGCACATTTTTGCCTCTAGAACACCTGGAGCTCTCCACAGGAACTGAAGATAAATAGAAGAGCATTAAGGAGCATGCAGAGGTCATCAAAAAGCTCTGTGATCAACTGGCATCATAGGCTGTTTGCAGATGTTTAAAAAACAACAACAACAAAAACTACCATGTTTTACTGGAAAAAGCACTGTGTTACTGCAACTTGGCTCTGCAGTGTCTGTAAAGATCAGGTGCTACAGCAGGGCTTTTGGGGACTTTTAGCTAAAGTTGATTCAATCAGCTATTAAGTAAAAGTGCCAAAAAAGCCCCCTAAAGTGTCCAATCTTTACAGACATTAGGCAAGCCAGATGGAAGTAATACACTGCCTTTTCTGGGCATGCATGGGGCTTGGTGCAGGAATACACTGAGTTTAAAGTAAAGCATGGGGTTTTTTGTTGGGTTATGTTTTTTTGCTCTTTTTACATCTGCAAGCGCCCATAGGCCATGTCCACATGAGGGTGGATGTTTGGTTCCCTGGGGGAAAGCAGCAGTGGCACACCTTGTGTTGACTCTAGTTTTCCCTGGGGAACACCTGTGTCATGCGCCCTCTGGCATGTGGCAAGTTACCCCAGGTGGGGTAGGGGAGGCTGGGGCCAGAACTGGCCTGGCCCCAGGAGCCTTACCTGGGGTTCTGGGGACCTCCTGGGTCTGCAGCAATGGTGATCCTGTCACCTGGACCTGGCCACCAGCCAGAGTATGGCTCTGGTTTTGAGTGGCACACTTTGCCCCCACATGTACTGCTCTGCTTTTTTTTGTTTTGTTTGAGGGTTTGTTTGTTTTTTTGGCATGCATTTTTTGACCCTTGGATATCCCTGTGCTGCTCCCTTGCGGTGCACAGAACACCTCAATGTGTGGTATGTGGCACTGCAGACATGTCTGGACAACCACATGCCTGCACTTGTCTGGACATGGCCATAACGTCCTTCTCTGACCTAAGCAGACTAAAGCAATTGCTGATAGAAGCCTTGAGGGACCTGTTGCCATCCCAGCACAGATGGATGCAATAATTTGCAGAACCCACATTATTGCCAGTGCCAGGAGAGCACTGACACTCACAGAACAATATTTATAGTCAGAGAAAGGCACTACTGGTATTCTCTAAGGCTTTGAACACTTCCACTTGTACCTATACGAAAATGAAAACACAGACCACAAAAATGTTGAGTATCTAGTTCACAACTCAGACTCCAAGACAGATATAACATGTAATGTTCCAAGGGCCTTTAAAGCACTAAAAAGTGAGGGTACAGAAAATGCCCAGGAATGAAGCACTACAAATTGGTCAGGACTGTATCAAAAATGACCCTGAATGAAACAAGAAAAACTCTGAAGCAATTCACCTGGAAGACCTTCATGCTATAGTTGTACCTTCCAGCTAAACACAATAAGGAATTGGTCAACCTGCTTGGATTCCAAAACACACTGAATCTCACACAGACTTAAGGTGATCCTCTGCAAATCACTCCCAGCTCCATTGCCCTAGGGCCCATAGGGCCTGCTTTACATGTTATCTCATCCTTTTAAAGCTATGTGCAAAGGCATGCCTCAGATGTTTTTTGGCTTCTCCAGTGTGGGTCACTTGGGCACCCAGTTAACCCCTGCACCCAAAAAAAATTTGCATCCACAAAACATTTCCCAAGCTAGAGACAAGTGGAGATCCTGGACCTTCTTTCCATGTAAGGTGAGGAGAACACCAAAATGCCCTCAGAGCCCTTGAAACCAGGCCACATATGGGCAGATTGTGGTAGAGATAAGAGTGTAAGACTACAACAATGATTAACATCAGTGCTGGGAAAAGGCAAATTTCCTGAAGACATAGTATAGGGGAAGCCAGGATACCAACTAGGTTTTGGGTACCTAGCAGGCTATATGTGCTTCTACAAGGAATTGTGGTACATACTGTCCATAGATCAGTCCATCAAGCCTCCCGTTGCTATCAATCTGGTAGTAGCTTTGTGATGATAAAGATGGCACAGACCTGGAAAACTGCTAGGAGGCTCCAGCCCAAGCCCCAGCCAGGGCACAATCTCAGGAGAGAGAGGAGAATCCAAGTGAATCCATCCTCATGTTCAGACTACCAAGCAGATGAACCAGCCCTGGGAACATGTCAGCTCAGATGGCATCACCCTCTGGGAGAACCAGCTGACCATCCCATCAGGACTTCACGAATCTATTTCCACCATCATTGCAAACAGTTGTCCGACAGTGATGCCACACAGTTCTCTTGCCACCATCCCTCCTGACCTCCCTTCTTTTATCCTTTCAGTATCCAGGGCACAGCCACCTGGAGAGAATAGCTACACAGCTAGACACCAGCCTCACTGGTAAGAGGACACCCATACTATACCTGCATCATTACTTCCTCTGCCCCTCAAAATTAATAACCTTGAGTAACTCAGCCACAGTGAAAATGAGCCCTGCATTGGCAGGAAGCATCAAATCAAAGCCCATAATACCCTTTTTTTGGCACTCCGCTGTCTTGGAGAGTGAGAAATTATGGCCCAGACATAGGCTGGAATACCTGTTTACTGCCTCCCTAGCTGTGGAGAGTTGAAATAGCAGCAGCTTTGGTATATGAAAGCTGGGAGGATCCCTCATGTTTGCCTGGCACTGAAGTGCTCCAAATTATGACAGACTTTGAAATGCTTTACATGTCCATTTGTTCATATCTTAAGTCACCTGCACATACTGTGACATATCAATAGTAGCCATTCAAG